CTTGTTTTCCGTGGCGTGTTTTTCCTTCTCCACCTTGGCCAGTGTCAGCTCAAGGTCATCAATATCTTTCTTCAGCTCTGAACATTCATCCTCCAGTTTTCTTTTCTTGGCTGTCAGCTCAGCATTGATTTCCTCCTCATCCTCAGCCCTTTCAGTCACTTCTTTAACTTTGGCTTCCAGCTGGATTTTCGTTTTGATGAGCTGGTCACACCTTTCCTCAGCATCAGCCAAAGCATCAGCTTCCTGGTGGGAAAATACAGGAAGGAGTATTTAATGCTAAAGGAACAGATGTGCACTTCTAAGATCTTTGGAAGTGCTCTCATGAAAAAAACTACTGTGCAATTACATTATAAATTACAAATCTATAATAAGTTTTTCATAATTTTTTTTTCTGACCTTTAGAATCATCACTGCAGCTCTGGTACATTGCATTTCACCTTATTTATTTCGTGTGTATCTGAAAGTCACTTAGATTTAGTTTTCCTTTTCTCTTTAGAAAGTGATTGTTTATTATAATGTACTATCTTCAAATTTCTGTGGAAGTATTGAGAAATGCAATTAACTCTACCGTTGAGGAAATACTTAAAACTAGGATTAGTAGCTTTATACCCAGCTATTGCAGCCAGTGGAAACTAGAATAAAAAACATCTTTTCTCAAAATAGACATTTCAACTCAGATGTGTTGCCAAAATGCTGTCCATCATTCTCAGAGGTCAAATGGCTTTAGAGACAAACATGGTGCTTGTTTTAAATTGTAATGTGCATCTGTGTCTTCTGGGAGCAGTACAGGAGCTGAGGTAAGGTGTACTACAAGAAATGGCACTTGGCTCTTCAGTTCAACAACTGAATTAAGGCAGAGTGGGAGGTTAATCAGATCACTATCCCTGCTCCACTAAAGTGACTACAATGAACCTTAATCTCATGAACTTACATAGGATACATGTATAAGGAGGTATTAAGACTGAAAGTTCATTCTTTAGATTAAACTCCATTTTGCAATAGTGAGACTAAATGGGAAAAGAATGTGGCCTGAATTTTACATTTAGTTACATGGTGTTAGACTTAAAATATTTTATAAGAAAACTTAGTCCGCAATTTGAGAGTCCTGTGGCAGGAAAGAAGAGTTAGATCTTTTTGATTTATTTCCCCTATAAAGAAAGGTATAGGAAAATTTTACTCACAGCCTGCACTTGGAGCTGCAGGTCATTTTTCTCCTGCACCAGTTTCACCATTTTCTCCTCCAGCTCCTTCCGCTTTGCCTCAGACTTCGCAAGCTCTTCCTTGGTTTTCTCAAACTCCTCCTTCATGTTGGCCATCTCCTTCTCAGACTCTGCACTCTTCAGCAAGGGCTTGATCTTGAAGAACAGCTTCATCCAGGGCCAGTGTTTGACATTCATGAATGCACGAATGTTGTACTGGATGCAGAAGATGGACTCCCTGGAGCATAATTCATGTGTACAATGAATATTTTCAGTCTGAAGAGTGTCAACACTTTCCCCCAAGCACAGTGGCTTTAACTGAGGATGAGGAATGTGTACCTTCTCTCCACCATTCTCTGGTACTCCACCCTCATCAGAAAACCTCTGCACCTGG